TTTTTAGTTAACATGCAAACCAATGTACTTCATGCCCAATCACATTTATTTCAATAAATGAAAACTCATAGATATTAATTATATTTTATAAAAATTATATTAATGAAATCTTATAAATATTAATGCATGTTAAAACTGTTAACATTACATTATTATTTATTAAAGAGTGTCCTATGTATTTAAGCATTAAATTTGTTTATACCTAGTTATAAATAGTTTAATTTATTCTGTAAGAAACATAAATTTACATAACTACTACATTAAAAAAAAATTTTGTAATTTAAGAAAGTTTCAATGAAGCTTATCAAAATAATTTAAATGATTTACAATTTAAATTATAAGAGTTCATTGTATGCATACATAATTAATTTAAGTGTAAATGAATTTCAATATAAATTCAATATACTCGTCAAAGAACTATATTAAAAATAAATTAACTATATTTTTCGATCTTCGGTCGGCGCACACAAACGCGCGCGTGTGGCGCTTTTTTATTAATTCCGTAATCATTATTTATTTATTATAGTTTTTTATATTCATAAGTCCGTCGTGGGTCTAGTAATCTTACTGTAGCTAAAGGTAATTTTTTAACCTCTTGCATTAAATAATATTTTTTTGTATTAAATAATATAATAAAGTAAAAAATGTACTGACGTGTATTTTGGACAAATATCTAAACACTAATCAATTTTAATTTGTATATTCTGTATCTTGAAAAATTTATTTATAATTAATTTTATTTTCAGCTTTTAAAATTTGTTCGCAACTTAAAGTAAAACATTTTCTAATTGAAATGTTTCTTATAGGTTTGCGTTTTTAAAAATATTTAAATCTTTTCAAGCAAAAAATGGAGTGAAATTATCATTTCGATTGCATGATATTTGTTGAGTAGATCCACGATGGACTAACATGTGTAAATTTTAATGGAAAACGTTAATTTTTTGTAAAGTAATGTTGATGGAGAATGGCACGGTGTCTTAGTTCACTAGCGAAATGGCCGAACAAGGTTGCTGCATGTTCAATTGTAATTTATTAATATAAATTAGTCATTCTTAATTTATTCATCAAATCAATACTTCTAAATCCTTATTTTTCTAATTTTCTTGCATATTGTTCATTCGCATTTTATAAATATTAGCAAACAAAAATACTTTATTATATATATTCATAAATAAAATTATCTATTAAATATTTAATTTAATACTTTTCAATATTAATATAAATAATATGTTAATAATTTTGATAGGAGTATATGGACGCTTTTTTAGTTAGTAGTTTCATCTAAGGTTGATTAAATTTGAATTTGAATAAAAATAACAAGGTTCAATACAATGAGTTATAGTAATTAATTATTCAAATAGACGTGAAGATTTATAACTTCAATAATCAGTCAATAATATTCTTTAATTGCTATGAAATGAAAATTGAATATTAAACACTGACAAAGTTACACATTAAATGGGTGCTTTTTATGTTATTACTTTTTGATACAAAGGTTATATGAACTTCTATATACGCAAAGACAAGTTCTTAAATATATTGATTTATATTTTTATTTTAATTTTCATGTAAAAAGATGATCTATACCACGAAGAACAAATTAATTAATTCTATGTTACTATACTATTTCCGAACACGAATTTATTCGTTATATTATTTGTAAAAAACATTACAAAAATTGTATTGTATATATATTCATAGTTTAAAAAAAAATTATATATGGATATATTATTTCTAGATGCACGTGCATACAGAATATTATCCGGATTTAATATTTTTGTTTCCACTATGAATAATATTATTTGCATAATTCAAATTGTTTTCTTCTTTCTTCAATTACAATATATTTTGTAAAAGTGGTATAAATACTGTTCTTTGTCATCATTTACATTATATTTATGTAGAAAAAATTCCAATTCTAAAAAATAATGTATTTAAAAAATAATTTATAGTCTATGAGAGCAACCTGATTTTTGATGTTTACTTTCATTTATTTATGGTTATTTAATCTCATTAGCTTTCTTCGTATTATAATCTTTTAATTCAATGTTTTAATTAATTAGTATATTGAGTTAACAAATTATTAAAATCAATTTATTACAAATATAATTATTTCGATATTATTATATTCTTAGTAAAATTCAAAATACTATGACAATAATAATAATTCTTTGGAATTAACTAAAAATCATTTATTTGAACATACTTTTTATTTTTATTATAAGAGTGTTGGAAAATTATACTAAATTTTTTAAATAACTTTTGGAATTTATATTTACACTTTCTTTATCTTATAGCAATGAAATTATTAGTTAATAATAATTCAACAGAAAGTTTTTCGATTGCTCATAAAAATAGTAAAATTTTCAGGTAAATAGGAATAAAATAAACTTTCAACATTCTAATTTAGTCTGCAGAATCTTTGGATAAGGTTTTATAGTATCAATAATTTTGTTTTTAAATTTCCTTTTTATTCTAGACAAATACCTGTGATTTTTTTTTTTATTAATCGAATATTTACATATTTACGGGAAACTTCTTTTTTTTTTTATTTTCCAACGTAGTTATTTACGATCGAATGTTTCCATTCATAGTAAAATTTAATCATGTATACAATTTACAAATGCTTTTAGAACTATTTGGAATTGTATCAAGCTAATCATAATTTTTAAAGTCCTTGAACCAAAACGAGATAATTATTCACCGGTATTCGATGTAATTATATTTATAGTAATTAATAATCAATAATATTTGTTTTAAAAAAATTAATGAAATCTAATTTTGTTAACGATTTTGTAAATTCATATGTAAAGATTTATTTGTATCTACTATATACGTTGGTAATATGTTTAAAAAATTTTAATTCATATAAAAAATCAATCAATAGTTGATTTTTAGTTTTTAATATATTAAATACATAACCAAATTTAATATTTTTTTCGAGATTTTAACAATCTATTTTAATTAAGTCAGATAACGTTTTTATTTGTTATTTTCTGAGACTATTATTATAAGCAACAAATATAAAAAGTAATTAGCAATTAAAATTATATATTCAAGTAATTAAAACATATAACAAGCTTAATATTATCAAGATAAATATTATTCATATTAAATTTATCTTTTTATCATATTTACTATAAATCGTATCTTTAAGAGGTCAATTAAAATATTTTATTCCAAGAAACAATGTTATTTGTATTTTTTCTTGGAAACAATGAAAAAAATTTTTTTGTTTAATTTGTTTTTACTATTTTTTTCGGTAATTATCTATTATCTACTAATTATATCAGTTCCCTTTGAACTTATGTTGTTCTCTCCATTAGTTTCGAAAATTTTCAGGTCAAATGTTGATAGATTTCTAAATTATAGTTTTAGATCAATTAGTTCTCATAATTCATGAATTGTTTTTGCACTGAATTTTTAATATTGTAACTAAAGATTATTCTTTTATTTTATCTTCTCAGTCAATGTTTTGTTTTTCTACTACATTAATTTACTCTTGTGTTTTATTGAAAAAAATTTGGAGATTTGTTAAAGCGTTCATGCTATTCTATACTTTTATTCTTCTTCCTTCTATTATGGCAGCTTTTCATTATTTACATTATATTTTACATGGGCACTATTAATTAGCACAAGTGTCTCTTTTTCCTGGCATTTAAAATGCTTTCGATTACGATTAGCATACTTGTTTTGATGTACAATGAATTGATTACTTTCGATATCTTTGTTATCTATGCTCTACTACACCTCTGTTACTTCGATAACAGAGTTCATTGTTCAATCGATCACTTAATCATCTTAAAAACGTTAAATTTTAGCTATTTGTTAGGATAGTCATGATCCGTTAAGCTTACGTAACACAAGTTCTACAATAAGTATTACAGTTCACTATTGTCTATAAAAAAAATAAAAAAACAACTATATAAATAAATTTTTAAAAACTGTCCAAACGATTTTATTCGGCGTTTACACTATTCAATTTATCTTATAAATTATTTTTCATTGTCTATTTATACAATGAATTTTTATTATCATTTACTATAAATTATATCATTATATTCACTAAAATAAATGATTGTAGTTATCAATACATATCTGATTGATCAAAAATATTAAAATTTTATTGAATATATTAAGAAATACATATTATATTTAGATTTATTATGAATATAATCATTATTAAATCATAAAAAGTTAAAAAATATTTTATAAAAAATAGTTTTTTTAATTTTCTTACTTTACTAAAACTTTGTAAAGTTAAATAATTTTGTATCAACTTTTATTTTAAACTTTAACGTTAGTACATGATTCAACTTCATATACATTATGGAAAAGTAGGCAATTATATTAATTTTTAATTTTATAAATATAGTTTTAGTTCAGTTATGTTGATATAAGAAATTTTATTGAAACATCCTAGAAAAAATGTATTCTTACTACTTTAATATTAGAATTATAATATGTGATTTTAAAACAAGATTTATATTTAAAAGAATCGATAATTATATTTTATTAATTTTTTATTACTCAAATCCTGTATTTTCGTAATATTATTTTTTAAATTCATTGGTTTATTAATAAGTATGCAAATTGTAATTTTTTTAAATAATTGGTAATTAATCATTATTCCTGGTAATTAAAACTGGTATAGTATATTCTTATTAAATAAATAAAGTATATTATTATATTTCTTCGTATGCAAATGTACAGTGTAGGAATGAAAGTACCTTAATATATAAGCTATCTACAATGCATTATAGATACATGTAAAGTATTATACATATTTGATATTATAAAAGTATTATACTATTAATATTTTGTTAAAAATCTGAAATATATATGATATTGGCTTGCAGCAAACCTAGGCCGAATTTAATAAACATCGTGACCACAATAATTCAAAGCAACTCTATATCTCAAAGAGAAAATATAAATGTTTGAAAATGAACAAAAGTATGACACTTGGCGAACGATATGCAATAATGATTTTAAAACAGGGTATAGGTTACCGACAATGCCCTGGAGCTGGCTCGGAGCAGCTGCACCATCAGCAGCCGCAGCAGCAGCGGTTGCAGCAGCCGCGGTCACACCATCGCCCGCCACTGCACCCCTTGTGCTTGCCCCGAGGTCCGCAACGAGAAGGAGGTATATTAATTTGCTTTTTTATCACATTGTTTTCTCACTCCCTCATTCTCTCCATTATTTATATACAAAATCATCGATTCATCCATCAATATATCTATTTATCTATCTCTCTATCTGTCTGTCTGTCTACTTGAATATCAATATAAATATATAATATATAATAAATATATATTAATCATCATCTTTTTTTTCTCTTTATGTGTTATTAAAATCAAAACAAGTATATATATAATAAAATTACGTTCTGTATCATTTATTATTTGCAATTTAGATTTTTATTTTTTCTCTGATTTTGTGCCCTCCATTTATAATTTTTTATTATATCGCTATAAACTAATGAATATCTAACACTACTTTATTATTTTTATTTTTATTTATTTAAAATTATTTATTACTTCCAATATTTACTTGGACATAATTGTAATTTATGGTTCTAAATAACTTATCATTACATGGTATTTTCTAAGCGTTTAAATGAAGGTACTGTATGACTAATGCGTATCAGAAGAATATGTTAATCACATCTGTATTTTACATTAAGTCTGCTAATTTTTTAAACTTGTCATATTTTATTCAATTTAAGAAAGGTCGATAGTATTCCTATTGTATAGTAACCTATTTAAGTTTTTAGCTTATGTAATTGATCTCATTATGCTCAGTACAGGTTTTTTTTACTAGTTTTACATCCTCAATCAAAGGATGAAATTAGTTAATATATTGAATAAAATCTCATCATAATTTAATCAAAATTAATTACACTTATACATTTATTTTAATTTGTAATTCCATACAACTTTGATTTTTAATAAGTTAAACTTGGGAGATTACTACTTGAACACTTCTATTTGTTTTAATTATAAATTAGTATACAAGTTTTAGTTAGTAAATTTTTGTAAATTTTTATGTATTTTCGTTAATATTTAATTATAAATTAGTATAAGATGATTTAAAATATTGACAAAAAAATATATTACCAATGTTTTATATTTATATACTAACTCAATATAGAGAAATGCATTAGCTATATTTCTTAATAATACATCTCACTCATGTGAAATGAAATGTTTTTAGAATAAAATATTATGAAATTATTAATAGATATCATTAGATAAGTTATAGTGAAATAAATGCACATTTAAGAATCATATAAATATACAAATATTCAGTAAATTTATATATAAGCTTCTGGTACAATCTTAAAATAACAAATAAGATATTCGTGTAATTTTCTATTATTTTAAAATTTGTGTTAAAAATTTTATAATCGATATGTGTAAAATAAAATATTAAATAATTTTTCATAATTTTTTTCATTATTATAATTTCTTTATTTATTCATATTAAATAAGACTTTTATTTATTTATATATTCTTTAATATGTTTATTAAAAATTTTAATATATCAAAACATTAGATTGAATTTTATAGTAGAATAGAAAATACAATATGATTTAATAATCTTCTTTCAAATAAATAATGTTAAAAAACAATTTGACACAATTATTAAATGTTAATTATTATTTAAATAAGTATAAATATGTTTTATTCAGACGGAATGTATATATCTAAAAATATTATAAGATATTATAGGTTTCTTATTTGATTTAAATATAATTTAAACTTTACTTTTTTTAAATGTATAAATTATAAAATTAAACTATGAATTTTAATATAAAAAATATAATAGACAATATTTTTTAATTTAATTAAAATTTATAAAATTTACATATCGAATTCATAGAATATATATCTATTGATATGTAATGTTAATTGATATACAATATCAAATTTAATTCGAAATTAATTGAATAAATAATAATTTTGTAGTAATTGCTACTAGTTTTGAATGAATGATGAAAGAAATTAATAAAAAGTTATGTTTTACGATTAAACAAAAGAGTGTATGCATGTACTATTTTTGTGTGAAGAAAAATCAATATATTGGCTTTACAATTTATGTATTTTTAAGTTGTTTGGAGATGAAAATTTCTATTGTATAGTTTTAATATATGTTGATAAAAAAATATATATATAATGCTATTCAAATGAAATAAATAAAGAATTTGTAAATGTATTTTTATACTGCCAATTTTTTTAAAATTCATAAAACTGTGACGTTTTGGAATAATTAAGCTTATGCACATATGCAAAAAAAGTTCGTATATTTTGGTTCTGAAATTGTCGAATAGCTGCGGTCTGCGGACCACAAGTAGTGTATAGGAAAAAAAGTATGGAAAACTGCTGCTGCTGCTGCTGCTTCTTCTTCTTCTTCTTCTTCTGCTTCTTCTTCTTCTTCTGCTGCTGCTGCTGCTGCTGTTGCTGCTGCTACTACTGCTGCTACTGCTGCTGCTATCGATGAAGGAAGATTTTCTGTATGATGATAGCTTGTACAAGGTAGGCGCAACGGCATATGTGTTTCAGCGGCGGCATTAAGATGATAGCCACTCAAAGAAGATGCATTAGTAATGTGAAAGTGATTTATCCAAAGCGTGCAGAAACGCTTACAATAGTTCAAAATTCCAGTTCCATTGTTGCAACTGTAGCTGCTTATATTCTTCCTTCTTTTGCCCAAAAGGTAAGTACTTATAAATTATAAATTATGGCTTTTGACGTTAGTATCCACTATTCTTTTAATTTTTTTATTAATTTATAAGTACTTCTAAATTTACATATTTTTTCTGCACGCTTCACTTAAAATTCAATTTTATAAAGCAATCTGTTATATTTCAAAAATGTTTTTTTAGAAGTACTGCACTTTAAACAATACATTGAATACTAGTAAAATAATCATTGTACTTGATAATTAGTTAAGACTTTAGTTTTATATTATTTTTAACATATTTATAATTTGCGATTTTATTTTAAAAATTCGTATCCTATATTAGTATTTTCGAACATCGTTATATTGTATCTTAAACGAAAAAATTGTTACAAAATATTGTAAAGTATTGTATAAATTCTCTTATAATTTGTAAAAATAAAAAATTGTTTTTTGCTTAATTAGTATTGTCAAGTAAATAAAATGTGTATAATGAATAGTAAAATTGGTATATTATAATTTATGTAGCACGTCTCATAAAAAATTGAAGTATATTTATCCAATTTTTTTTTCTATTAAATAAAACAATTATTTTGGCTTCTCAAATTATTTTAAAGTATATATGCATATATTAAGGTCATTTATTTTATAATATTGTATGCATATATATTGTAATTTTTTAACCTTTACTTTGTAACAGAAGTAATTTTATTAATTTTATGCATAATAAAAAATTCAATATTGAATTTTAATATACTTATATGTATACAACTTGTACTATGCCTTATATTATTAAAAATGTGTACGTGATTTTATAAAAAATTGCCTTAATTAATAATTGTAGTAAAATTATCTTTTTTATGAGTCGAGTAAATTGCAAAAGTTTGATATTTCATTTTAAATGCTTAAAAATACTACTAAAAATATGTACATGATTTTATAAAAAAAAGATTGCTATTTCGTTTTAAATGCTTGAAAATTGAATATATAAATTTGATATTGAAAATATATATAAAAAAAAATAAAAGGTGCTAAATACTTTCGCGTTTATCTACAAAATTGCCTCCTAGTTTAAACAGTTTAATCTTTAGCTACTTCATTGTTGATGACACAATAATGGATAGTAAATACAAAATGAAAAATACAATGGTAAATAGGTAGTATAAAAGATTAAAATGGTGAATAGAAAACACAAAATTTGAAATTCTATGTCATGCATGATAACTATTTATAAGGATTTTGAAATACATAAAAGGGAACAAGTACACAACCACTGATATTTAGAAATAAAAATCGAATGAATCAATAATATTTATGTTTAAATTATAATCATTTGTGACACCGATTTTTATCAAAATTATACATAACTTAAATTTTGTGTATGAATATATAAATAAATTCTGAATTGCATTTTAACACAAAAGATACTTCTGAAATTATGTCACAAGTACAAAAAAAATTAGATGTGTTTAATCTAGAAAAAGTGATAATAAATATTGTAAGACTAATAACACAAAACATTTTACAAGATATTCAAGGATACTTTATTTTAGAACCCTAAAGACGTTTTGTAATGTATTCTATTTTATTAACGTTGACATATAAATATTAAAATTGAATATTAAAATAATTTATATAGAAATATGCTTTTTTAAAAATTTAAATTTTACTTATAAAGCTTATTTCATTTAAAAATACTTTATTTTAATTGGTTATAATCATTCGCATTTTATTATATTAACTTTTAAATAGGAATTACATGTACTAAAATAAGCATCTAACAAAATATAATGTCTTAATATAGTTTTTGAAGAAATCGTAATTAGAATACAAACATATTTCGTTTATAATATGAATTTATTATAGTTATTGTATGTAATGTGTTTACTAATATCAAAAATAGTAAATCTATTAATTTAATAGCAAAGAAAACTACATTTTTCATTTACCCAAAAAAATAATTTACCTAAAATTGTTTGAAAATCGTTGTTTTAAATTTATAAAACATATTTTAATTACCAATAATTTGAATTATGTTCTATAAAATTAAAATGTGAAATTAATATTGTTCTCTAACGTTGCCGTTTTACATAATTAAAATTCTAACAAGTTTTTTTTTGACATTTCAAGTGATCGCTCTGCAATAGCAATACCGGTTTACATTCAAACTAATTTAAAACTCCATATACTCAATTTCTACATGGTAAAACCAAAATATTTATAAATAATTAAGTTTCTTTTTCCAATTTTTAAACATATTTTTACTAATTCTATTAGGACTTTAAAAATAATTTTAAAACATTGTTAACTTTTATTAAAATCAATTAATGTTACATTAAAATAACTAATAAATAATAAATCGTTAATTTATATAAAAACACAGAGTTTTTAAATTATTTAACAAATAATGATATTCAATTTTTAAATAGGCAATTATTTATTTTAGTAAGATAAGATATATA